TTCACCCCCCCCCCCCCCCCCTCATCTAAGCCTCGTTTATATCATGTAGGAAGAATTGCATCCGGCTTTGAAGGAGCTTGATAAGGCGCTTGAAATTCAGGAAGACAATGGAGGCGTCCAAGAGGACACAGTTGTCACGCTGAACATAATAGCAAATGTTCTGAAAAGATTGGGACGCCCCGAAGGGGCTGACGAGATGACGGAGCGAGAGATGAATTATCGCAGGAATTTGGAAGACAGACTCAGTGAGGTGCAGAATTGAGTGGCAATGAAAAGTACACAGCGAAAAAAAAAATGCGTGACATAGTATATAATGTGCTGGTAGATAAGTTCTACATAAAGAGATAATCTTACTGCTGTGTAAAGCTGATATGAAGCTGATGTAAATTCACTAGGTGTACACTAAATGTTTTAAAAAGATGCCTTAATGAGACTACAACTTTTCGGCGAACTATAATAAGTTCTAGGATTAATAAAAGTGTAAAAAGAAACACACACAAAAACACAAAACACAAAAGAAACACAAAAAAGTGTAAAAAGAACACACCAGACGCTCTCGCAAACGTTGTAAAATGTCAAGTTCTTGAGAGGGTCTTATATCTGATGAAACTAAAACCTCAGAAGGATAGGAAATTTTTAATCTTGGAATATGTATGCGTCGCGTGAAAACCGGCAATTTCGTGTCCTTGCAATTCAAAAACATGTTGCTCCGTTAGAAATTCACTGTAAAATGTGTTATAGCAGTTTTTGATCAAAAACAGAACTGTGATAACACTGAACGGTAGATTATTTTTGTGTAGTTAAAACCTACTTTTCCTATTTGCTCAACTGTTTTAAAATCCACTTCCCGCCCGCTTAACATGACATTATTTCCTTACATTATAGCGAGAGATATAATAAATCTTCTTATTGACCTCATTCACTTTCCTCTTGACCTGCTGTTAACGTCAGTGACTTGTAGAAAAAGACATATATTTTTACATAGAATAAGAGAAGAGTGAATGTAGTAAATTGTTAACGTCGATGACTTGTAAAAAGAGACATATGTTTTTACATAAAATATAAGAGCAGAGTCAATGTAGTAAACTGTTAACGTCGACGACTTGTAGAAAAAGACATGCTTTTACATAAAATAAGAGCAGGGAGAATGTAGTAAACTGTTAACGTCGATAACTTGAAGAAAAAGAAGTATGTTTTTACATAAAATAAGAGCAGAGCGAATGTAGTAAACTTTAACGTCGATGACGTGTAGAAAAAGACATGTTTTTACATAAAATAAGAGCAGGGAGAATGTAGTAAACTGTTAACGTCGAAAAAGGCATTTTTTCACATAAAATAAGAGCAGAGCGTATGTAATAAACCAGCGAACTTAGATTTAAATTTTCACGGTGTAATTTCATCATTGCTACAAAATTCCGAAGCCTTTACCCGAAAGTAACGAACTCAGTAGTGAGCAACAGACGTTGATATCTACTGTGCAACAATATTGCCAAAATTAAAGATGAAAAGGAATAAGCTAGACTTCAAACACTTTCTCAGGGTGCAGAGTGTTTAAAATAACCCGTCACATGAACTAAGAGACAGACAGCTTCAAATTCTTCTTGTAAACTTTTAGTAAAGCTGTAAATGAAAGATGTTTCCTTTGACTGTTTTGAGAACTTTTTTTATCAGTTTACTTATCACATTCTTTCATGTATCAGACCATATACGGTATAGGTGTTAGTGCCGGAAAGTAAGACCACAAAATCCTTTTGGGGCTCTCTAATGGGAGTGGCAGTTACGATCTAGACCGACAAGCGACAGGATTAGAACTGATCGTACAAGGTATTGAACACCTGTAGACTGCGAACCATTTTTACCAATCATGGAGTCAGCTACAAGTACGGAAATGATAGTTTCGGAAGGTCCGCACACCACCTTCGGAAGAGGGTCTTCAAAAGAGAGAATTATCGCACTTGTAGTCTTGGCTGTTGCACTGATCTTCTTAATTGTGGGAATCGTGTTGATTGCAATTGCAGCAAACGATCAAAAGAATGAGAAATCGTCAGGTTCTACTTCTAAACAAGAAGAAGAAAAGAAAACAACAGAGTCCATTTTATGTGAATTTTCAGAGGAAGCGAAACGAGTGGAACTTGGTGAATTCCTCGATCGTGTTAAGGCAACATATTACAAACTTCACCCTTATGATGTGTATCGGGATCCAGAAGTGACCACGGAAAGGGTTAAAACGGAATTCGTGGCTTATGATCCTTCACCATCCGTCATCAAAAAACGAACGGACACCGCTTTGGATCTTTTGAGCGAGATCAACGGAAAGAAGATCAACAGCGACAAGTTGAAACCCCGAGAGAGAAGAGCGCTTGCACAAGTGAAGCATTACCTTCAGCATGTGTTCGGTCGGCCTTATGACGTGAATTACTACGCCGGGGATTGGATGATGGGACCGAATTTGTTTTGCTGGCAGGAAATCTGTTTTCAGGGATACGCTGTTTATAACGGATTGGGTCTCTATCACAAACCTTACAACGCATCGGATGTGGAACTGATTGAATCGAAGCTGAAGACTCACAAAGCAGGCATTTGGCAGTACATTGAAAATATGAAGATGGGGGTGCGGAAAGGGATGATTCGTAGTGTTGAGGAGTGTGAAGCTGGAATTAACACCATCAAAAGACAGTACTTGGATATTTCCTCGTACAACTCAACAGGTAAGGCCATCATGTTGCGTAATTGTTGTTTTTGCGCTGTGCTAACAATTTGCACCAATTTCCGCCACGGTTGTCAGTTGCTGACTCGAAACTACGGAACATTCAACGCTTTTTTTACACGCGCTCCGCGAACAGATGCTTATTACGCTTAAATAATGAGAGATGCACCGGGTATATATTTTGGCAATTAATCAGACCATTCGTAAATTTAGAGGTTACCGTATGTGATCTGCCTTGGCCCGCTTCTGATTAGACTTAAAATTAGCAGGTATTGCGAGAATTAAATAGCCCTTTAAGACAATAGATCACTCTGGTCACTGTGGGATTGTTTTAGTCTGGAGCTCTTTTTTGCAAACCTATTAACTTTTCCTAGCGAAGACGCCAGTAAATCAGTCTACATAATCCTGTGATCACGAATCTTACGTGCACTGCATAGTAATGTTACCGTTTCGCTCCCTAGTTGTTCGCACAGCAATCACGCGATGAGGCTTTGGTCACGAAATGGAACAAAAAAAATAGAGTTAGTCACGGAAATTCAGGCAGCACAAACCAGCGCCGTTTTTACCATACAGGCGAGCGCAACATGGCTGCTTCCTGCCTGAGAGTCTTTCTTTGTTTTTGCTTAATATAACCGCAGTTCGATTTCTTTTGTTTCCTCGATTTCCTCTGAAATACGAAATAGCAAGGAGTTGATAAGGTCGCCAGTGATTCGAAAGTTGAAAAGGAACCAGAATCTACCTTTGGGGGTAGATACTGAGGAATCCTGGTGGAGGGGGCCGGGCTGCGGTCGTCCTCATTGCGAAACAATTAGCACTTAAGAATTTGTAATTCGCATTTTGACGTTCTATACATATGTAAATCACACATCCATGCATCTTCAATTATCTCAGCTTTTGCGCTAGAACCCAAATATTGCTCTGTATTTTTCCCTAATTGCGATGCTTTGTGTGCTCTTTTGACTGAGCTAAAAGAATTGTTGCCGGGTTAAAAGATTTTCGGTTTTCCCTGTGTCCACAGGTGGAGGCATTTACCACTGATTAAGAAGAGAACGTGGGCGAAAGATGACTGTCACCACACTAAAATACATAAATAACCAACTAAGCAAAATCCCGGATGTCCACGAACTCCCAAGCTTTAACTCCTCAGGCTCAGCGAACATTGGTGAATATTCACCTCGACCTCGTCTCGGTGAATATTCATCAATGTTCAGTTCGCCTTCGGCGAATAATTGTTAAATAGAAACAAGATTTTAAACCAATCAGCGGGCGTATTTTCTTTGGGCTATTTTCTAAAGTATTATAAGAATAAAAACCTATCATATCACTAAAGCTGCTTTTCAAGGATGCCTTGTCTTATTCAAAGCTGTGATGACGCAGTTTAAGTCCAAATTCTCTTCAAGAAACTGTAGATCGCAGCTCATGAGAAAGGCTGTTCCACAACTTTGCTTGGTGCGGGGCTGTGGAAAAGCCAATTTATTCTCAGAATTCCTCGGTCGATTCGAGGTAATATTTTCGAGATTCCAATCGAGATTGTAGATATTCAGGGATTAATCCACTGGTATTGTCATTGGAGGTGTCTTAAAAAGCTGGGTCGTTCAACCCCTTCTGGACCCTGATTACTACAGTAACATCACAGAAGAGATTGATAGCGAGTGGAAGAAGACACACGGTGGAAAAAATGTCAGCGAAACCATAGAGGATTATCTTGTGACTTACGTAGGAGAACCACTCAGCCAGTTGTTAAGGTACTAGTAATAGCACAAGCGGCCCAGATGTTGAATACAATTAATACGTGACATTGTACTGTTGGCGATTGCGTTACAATTTTAGCCGTTTATAAGGCAATGTATGAGAATGCTTCGAAAATTGTTCTAAATGCTACGTGTAGAAAATAATTTAAGTAAAAGTGGCTTACCTGATATTTGCATTGCGCTGATTTGATGTCTCTGTGTTCCTGTAGGCGGTTTAGAGTCATTTAGGCGAGTTATACTTTCTGGTGGTTTTCTTCTGAGGTTTTAACAGGAGCCATAATCGGGGACGGAGACCGTAAGCGCGCGCCATTTCTAGTATTGGGGTTGTCCCCGTGATATGGGACAATAATTCTATTTTTA